ATGAGAAGACAGAAGAGCTCTGGCCTGGGGAATACCCACCTCTGGGCTCTGTGCAGTTTGCCAGGAAAATCCTAGAGCTGAGGGAAGATATGTTGTCACTGATAGATTTAGGGAGGCAAAGGAAAAAGGACGGAAGGGAGGGAACCGTGTGTGGAGGGGAGGCTCCTGCGAGGGCTGCAGAGAGCTGAGAAAGACAGGAAAGGAAAGCACAGGAAAAGGTGAGTTCTCCCAAGCTGGTTAATAAATATTACCTCAGAAGTTAACTCCAGCTGAAGAAATGCATGTGCTGAAAGGGCTGCTGCCTGCTTTCACTCCATGAAGCAGTCACGCTCCTTTTGCGTTGTTGCTGCTTTTTTCAGAGGAGCTGGTTCTGAGTCATTTTAATCAGCTGCTGTTGCAGGCTTATTGGAGTAAACATAATACAAGTACTAAATTCAGTTGTTTTAACTACAGACTGAGAGGAGAGTGATGCTAAAGCTCTTGGATTCAACCTACAAACAATAAAACTCCATGGTTCATCCACAGAGGGAGAAGACAAAATCCTGTTCAGTTACTGCTTTAAGACTGAGAGCTAGAAATGCCTAACTTGGCCCTGCTTGGATCAAGTAAAAAAAATCCACAACTAGCTGCCTGAATTCCCTACAGAAAGGGAAGACTGGAAGAATTCCCTACAGGGCAGACTGGGAGCTCACACAGCAGGCAGAAAGCTTAGCCCTGTGGGAAGAGAAGCTCAGGGCCATACCATTTTTGTTTTAGCAATTCCTTCACACCCTGGGCCTAAGCACAGGAGCTCAGTTCAAAAATTCAGCTGTTAGGACAGCCTCTGCTACTCCCCTGGCATGGGACAACCTGCCTTCTCCTAAACCACCCCAGTCACAGCCCAGTCACAGCCCAGGCCAGCAGCCATTTCCAGTGGGTATTTGTGGTGTAGCAATCCTAATTCAGGACAGGAGAATGCAAGAGTACAGACATGGCCAGCTACTGCCCAGCCAGCCTCAGCCAATGTGCCCTTGGCAGAGCTGAGATGACTAGCCTTGAGGCTGCTGTGGATTTCTGCTTCCCACTCTCTCTCTTCACTCCAGGCAAATCTTCTCTCAAACCACAGGCAAACTGCACCTTTTTCCATTGCACAATTTTCAGCAGCATCATCAAGAATATCCTAGTTGTGGGTGAATAGCTCCTTCATCTTGTGGCTGTTGTCCATGCCTTTCCCTTCAGAGGATTAGCCTCTTTCAGACATAGTATTCTTGCTTCTTTCATTCCTGAAGGCATTTCAGCTGGAGAAACCCCTGCAATTGTGACTAGCCACGCAGTACTCTTTTTCAATTTATGAGGAAAATCCTTTAAAAGAAAGCAGTGCTAAAAGATATTGCACCTCTGAAAACCCAGGTATACTGTCAAAGCACCATGGTAGCCTACTAAGCACTTAAAAATATCTCTGCAAATGCTGAGATAGGTGGATTTAGAGAAGAGTGAAAAAGAGTGGTATTGCACTCACTTTAAGGAGCACAATAGACAAAGATTAAGTTGATATACCAACTATTGTCCCTACAATGGAGTAAAATACATATTTGATTTCCCTGTTATAAAAGAATGCAAACATTTCAGCAAGGGGATATTCTAGTGACTGTGGCTTACAAAAAAAGGTGATAAAAAAAAGTTTGGTTATGAGAGCCTTGTGACTTACAGGTCACCATACATGTACACTACCCAGAAAAATGAAATTGAGCTAGAAATGTGTCACTGCTGCAAAAATGAGTACACTGTATTCCTGCCCTGCTGCACAGCTGATGTCAAAGGACCATCTCACCCCAGACGAGGAGTGCTTGTTCTCACAGAACCTGTATAGTCTGTCCCAGTTGAGAAGATTTCTACAAATGCCCAGGAAAACTTGCAGACTAACTGATGACAATACACTAGAATAACAATACTACAAACTGTCATGAAGGGTGGTGGGTGAAGAGAAAGTATACCACTCAAAAACATGTTTCAAAATGATTTCAGCATTGCAGCCCACAAGTGTAACCTAATTTTAAGCACCTTTTATTCCAGGAATAACTATTCCTGAAGGTGTTAAAAGCCAAAAACTTAATTAGAAATACGTATTATGTTTTTTGAAATGCCCCTTATTTAGACAAGAAAAAACCAGTCTTTCTGTTATTAAGAATCCCAGACAGGGTCCATGACCACCATACTAAAACATAAAAAAAGCTTTTGGGCATGAGGATCATACGGAAGAGAAACACAAATCTTCTAGACTGTCATTTATACCCCCAAAAGCAGGAGAGCAGAACTGCCAAGTATCCATAAAGTAGGCCCATCAGACATGAAAGAGCAATTCTGACAGAGCCTTGAATGTGAGGAAGAGAATCAGCACAACTGGGACATCTCCTTCAGGCAATAGGAACCAGACCATTATAAGCTTCCACCTGGATGATCACCAGCAATACAAAACTAGAAACAAAAGACCCTAGTTTAGCATCTTACCCCTAAGGCCAGTATATTTAACTGGCTATCTGGTGGTTCACAGTGCTGGGCCAAATCCAAGTCACAGCTTTCTGGCCCTGGAGGAAAAGTTGTTACCAAATGAAGCGTGGTGACAACATATGGAGCCCTGTGCTACTGGAGCAGTTTCATCCTCATCCAGAAAGCAAAAAACCTGTAAGGTTATGCCAAACACATGACTCAATTTAGGTCAGAGCTCTGCTGCTCAAAGCACTCTGGCCACGGATGCCGCTTGGAATGGACTGGCTTGTTTCTGTGCTGACTTTAAATCTTTTCAAAAGTTTTTCACAGGAGAAAGGATCGTGGATGACTTAGGCTTTTGTACCTACATTTGCTAGGCATTAGGGAGCAGTTTAGTATTAAATGTATTGATGCACTCTGCATCACTTCCTTTTTTATTCATTCCCATCCCGAAGTATCTTCAAGTATGACTGAAGCACTAAAGCTGTCACACCTGCAAGCTCCCTCTCTAAAGCATGTAAGCACCTAACATTTTGATGGACACAGAAGACACCCTAAAATGGTCACCCACCTAACATGCCCACCCACTGAGAGCTAAGCTCCTGCTTGTGGCCTCCTAACTAGACACCTGCTACCAGATGGCATAAAGCTGGGCTAGGATGCTCATGTCCAGTCTGATCTGTGAATTGGAAACCCCTTCCATGGAAGCAGGGCAAGTCACAGGAGAAGGGAGACAATGTAAAATCAGACTCAGGATTGCAATCTCAGGTTTCCAGTATCGTGTTTCTGCCTCAACACTGCACAATTTACAAAAATAATAATAAATACAGACTGAGACATTTTTATTTATAGATAGCCAAACACTGGCTTAGAGTGAAAAACATCTGACTGCATAACATGTCATACTGCAGCTCTGTACCAGTAAAGACCACACTTCTTATATAAAATAACTCATCCTGGTTCAGTAAGAATTCTGTTCTCAAAAGGAATGGAAGGAATAAATTAAATGAGGATTAAACACTAGATCTTGTCATCCTTCAGTGCATTAAAAGACCAAGATAATCAAGACTTTCAAATGCTATGTCAAGCTGTGCAGAGCAGAAAAGCAAACTTCTTGCTTGTTTTGGCACAGCAAGCTCTTTACAGCTTCTACTTGTAAGTTGGAAAATACAACATTGCATTTGCTAACTCAATAGATCATTTTCCTATCCAAAAAAGGACAGCTTCTTCTGTGAACTCACCAACTAAGGACCATGTTGTGGGAAGTACTGCTGTACCTAACATCTCATTGTAAATAGTTATTTAACTTTTTAAAACTCTTCAACAGAAGAATCAATTTGATGCTGAGTAATTAAGCACATGCTCTTTCAAAAGAATAACAATTAAAGTTTTCTAGTGAAACGTAAAGGATTAAATACTTCAAGTAAAAGGGATGATAACTGGACATGAACAATTACATGTGGTTATAACAGCAGGAGCAGAGTCCAAATGGCACTCCCAGCATTAAACACTGTAGTTGACCCGAGTTGGTGTAGTAGACTCCAGCTTATAGCCTGGAGTCAATGATCTCCTTGGAAATAATTCAGGGTTACTGGGGAACACCAAGGGAGGGCTCTGGCCTGTTACTATCAGTTACTGTCTATTGCTATGAAGAGGCATTTTGAAAGGACTGTCTTGGTCCAAGACAAGGAACATTCAGTGGTGGCTGGTGACTGGGTGGCTGAAACAATTCAGTTGTGTTAGTGCTTACTGAAGATCAAGAACAGCTAAGCTCCTGCTTGGGCATCTAAAGACAGAGACACCCTAAAAAAAATGGTCACTACTTATGATTCCTGACACTGAGAAACTAAATTTACTTCCAGGCTTCAGTAGATAGAAATGGTTTGGGGAATTAAGTGAGAAATTCCATCTTGAAGTGAAGAAAGTCACTGTCTGAAAATTACAGGACAGGTAAGCAAGCCTTGATACTAAGATCAGCAAGCTTTGATTCAATTATTGTTCCTCAAGCTGTTATTGCTTAAGTCTTAGAGGCATTTAGCACGTGACACCTTCAGATAAGGGAAGAAGAAAGACAACCTTATTTGTGAACATCAGGACTGAAATGTTGGCTCTTTAGGTCTTTATGCTGCTTTAACTTTACCTCCCTGTAGACACAAGTGAGTTCAAAAGCAGTTCCAGCCACTGTGAACACCAGTACACTCCAGAATGGCACATCTCATGGACCCTAGTGGATTTATGTTCTGTGGTGGTACCCTGCAGTGCCCAGTGAAGTGCCCACTGTAGCTGAAATCATTACCAAGGCATTCACAATGTCCCTCTGTCACTTGGATTCCTGAGGAATGCACTAAAGAGGCACTACAAAGTCTGTTCCATCTACTGAGGCACCTACTTCATGAACTGCACAGGCCTCTCCTCCTCTGTGAAATTCATCTGAAAGTGGTTGATGTTGTAAAACACTGGGATGAGGGGACAGTGAGAGATTTGTTCAGAAAACTAGGCTAAAAACTAAACAACAAAGGCACTACCAGACATACCTGATTATACCAAGAGGGTCTAAATCTTCTTCCTCTTCTTCCTCTTCCTTTTTCTCCCCTTTGTTGGCATCTTCCACTGATGAAAGCTGTGAGATTAAGTCAGGTGCCTTCTCCTCTTTGAAAAAATCCAGTGCTTCATTTTCTTTGTCTTCCTTCTCCTTGTCATCAGGAATGTTTTTACCCTTGAAGTCAACGGCACTAGCAGATTTTGTTCCTGCAAAAATACAATAATAGAAGCAAAACTGAGTACACAGGATAACAAGCATGGTTTATTTAATACCTTGCACCTGTTCCTCATGGTTTTGTTTGGGGAATGAAGGACACAATCAACTTTTGTGAAACTCTTCCAAGGTTCCTTACTGTCTCTTCTATCCACTGTGTGTTATTATGTGTCTGATCTGTTTACTGATTTAAAGTAGTTAAGTAAAGAAAGACACAGGAAATGAACTTCAGCTGAGACATAGCAGTGTATGTCTAATCTGCTTATTTATGTTCCTTCTATAGTCAACAGAAACAATAGAATTTCCACCTAGTGAATCATCCTGCCCAAATAAAGTTGTCTGAGGAGGAGTTTCCCTCTGAAGTGGGTGTTTGTCTCCACTGGCTACAGAGAGGCCATAAATACTCTGCTTAGATGTAGGTAGCTAACTTTCACATAGCCAGCTGAGATAAGCCTACATCTTTTGTTACTAATTCAATTCATCTGGGCTAATATTAGAGCACTGGACAGCACAAAAAAGTTTCCACAGCAGCTCTTCACTTTACATTGAAAAATGAAGGCAGAAGTTCTTTCTCCCTTCAACTCATTCAACTAAACAAATTCAACAAATTGAAACATGAACTTTGACCAAGTCTTCTCACCATACTTGTTATATGCAAAGTCCAGGAGAATGAGAGAACTATTCCTTGCTGTGGAGTCTCCAGATGTTCAGGAAAGCAATTTAAAATAATAAGACCAGCTAAAAATGGCTAGTGAAAACCATGATGGATAAACTTCATGGTTTCATCCTTTTGACTGTCAAACAACATGGCATGGGAGACTCATCTCACCCAGCTTTCCACATCTGCATCTGCCAAATCACCCAGGGCAGACTTCCTTGACTAAATGTGGGTGCCTACACTGATCAGGTGGTCTTATACTTCCTTTTTATGCAAAAGATTTTGCTAAATATTATTCAGTTTTGCTCCCCTTGTCTTAGGAAGCTGTCAGTCTCACAGAACTTCTAATGTGGCCACACTTGACACTTTTGCAAGACTGGCTGTTCACACACACACTGACTTGCTAGCACCCTGCAACTTCTCTTCCTTAAATCCAATGCTGCCATGAGAACCCTGCCCAGCACCAGGCTGGAGAACTCCAGGCTCAGCAGCTCTCAGCTGGATTAAAAGCAGAGCCCTCATCTGTTCCACTCATTCAGTGACTCCCTGCTATGCCCAAGGAACATAAGAAAGGAACTACATGAATCACTGGAAAAGGGAACAAGGGCTGGACACCAGGCTAAGGAAATTCTTTTTTAAAAAAAGGAAAGAGGGTAGAGAATGGGTTTAACTAATAAATAATCTGTATTTTACTCAGATCTTTCTCAGGGTCAGTAATTTTGCTGTAGGACCCTCTTCAGCAAGACCTAACAGTTCTATTCAGACATGGTACAGTTATCACTAAAGGAGACCCTGTGCTGTTGCTTTAGGGTCCATCTCTCCACTGACAATAACTGAATGTTTAGCCTTCTGAAGTGATGTGTTCTGAATCACAGCCTAGTACAGGCCTAAGGGAAATCAGAGGTGGTGGGATAGATACCTTCAAAGCAAGCACTGTGGTATCCACACTTCTGAATGAGGCATGGGTCCACTGAGAGGAGGGGAAAACACTAGCAAACATGACTATGAAGCACTGGAGATGCTCAAGAGGGTATTTTCAGTGACAGCCTTTATTCTGGCACTCTTGAGTTTCTGACTACCTGTGTCAAGAACTTAATAATACTTTTATCAAGCACACTCAAGGGAGAGGGGACACTCACATCGTTTAGTTACCTAAAAATTCCAGTAACTCAGGACTTGTTGCTAGATCCTCATTTTTTGAGATGAATTTCATGATATCATTGAACATAGCTCTTCGTTCACAGATGTCAGATTCTCCCACAAAGAGAACTTTCCTAGGCAAGAGTGGAAGAGAAGCCTGTGGGTATCGTGCAGCCAGTCTCTGGTAGAGCTCCTCTATCTCACTGTACTTCTTGGAAACCTGCAGGGAAACATGTCACCTGGGTAAGTTGTTTATAAGGGAGGCATAACCAGCAAAGCAGGAGTTTAAGCACCATGAAACATTAACCCTGGAAACTGAAGTGGAAAAACATGTATTACCAAGAAGCTTTACATGTAGCCAAGTAAAAGCCTGTTACCTACACAGTGAATCCCCAAGCATTGTTGCTGGTCTTCTAATTCTGTAATTAAAATCTGGTCCCTAATGGAATTGAAGTTCATTGCCAGATACCCAGCATCCATTTGTCTGACTCATCAGCTAATGAAATACTGGATAGGTCACTGCTCCAGATACTTTTTTCTGGCAGCAAAAATCCTTGTCTACTAAAAACGAGCTATGCAATGCCCAGCCCTGAGAGATGGGAGGGAAGAGAAGCACATACACATTGGCTTCTGATGGAGAAAGCAGCCTGAGTCTTTTCACCATTGAGCCACAAGACCCACTTCTCATCCCTGGTGGGATTCAGTGCCCCTCTGGCTGTTAAAGCCTAAAAACTGTCACGTTTGCTGCCCTGCAGAGCACCTAATGTAGAAACGAAAGGGCAAAGACCTCAGCTGGCCCCTGACTACTCAGTTTACCTGTGAAAATAAAAATCAACAACTTGGCCATGGCCTAAAGGTTCTCATACACGGAGAAGATGCCAACAGTGAACAGAGTCACTCCTTCTGCAGACAAAGACAGGAAGCCTGAGGAGAAATAAAGCCCAAGATATAAGAAGGAAAGCAATAACCATGGGAATGTTGGTTAGAAATGGTGTGGCTTCCATGCCACATGAAGTTTTGAATTGAGTACTTTAAAAAAACAACACAGAGAACCCAGACACAAAGTGGTATTATACAGACAATATATTTATCATGGCTCTTCATGGCCCAGAATCGACGAATGTGCTTCAATGAATAGAGAGCTAGAAAAAAGCACTGCTACTGGAGTGGGTCTGGCACGTGTCCTCTGCTAGGGTCCAGCTCCTATCCTCTGTAACACATGTTGGTGAACTCTAGTGGCATGAAACCTAATTAACAGTGCATCAGAAAAGATTAGAGACCCTCAAGCACTGTATCTTGGGATAGAAGAAGGCAGAGTCCTTCCATCAACACAGTCATAGAGGAAAGTTGACCCAACAAAAAGCACAGAAGCAGAAGTGAAATTTGTTATAGATTAACCCAGAATCCATAAACTGCACCTGTACTAGCAAACTAAACAGTATCAGGCATATTCTCAGGCACTGGAATTTGAGTGTCTATTAGGAAACCTATGGTGTCTACTGACTGCCTGGCAGAGTTTTGACAGGGCAGCTAGCACTCCCCTAGGTAATTTTTCAGCCCAAGATTCAGCCTGGTGACCACAGAGTAGCCAGTTTGGGTACCAGTTCCTGTTGCAGATGGTAAGAAAGTTTCATGCAGACAGACTGTTCTAGCTGCCCTCCAGCCCAGAGAACAGGTCCTGACATTCACAGGCACACCTCAAATAGTTTACTCAGCTTGACACAGGCATGAAGAGCAATGACCACCTCAGTGTTCCTATTTCCCTGCTTTTTGCAGTAATTATCACCAAGCTAGCTCATGTGAAAAGCTCTGGCACTTCAGCTGTACCACGTTCACTACGTGTTCACTGTCTGACCAGAGAAGGCAAACAGCTCTGTAAGAAAGAACTGTAGCACAAAACTAAACCTGAGTTGACAGGGGAATGAAACCGAAGAATTTTAGGCTTGTCTCTGGTAAGGAACCCAGGGAAGAGTGAGCAACACTGCACTCTGCATGCAGCATCTGACGTGCAGCTCAGCAGCCAAGCACTGAAGTGATGGCAATAAGGAAACCTTCCCAGAATAAGACAATCCTCCCTCTCAAAGATACTCTGAAAAGCAAGAGGGGGAAGCAATTCTGCAGTTTCTGAATTCTTGTACATTGCTAGTTTGCTAGGTCCCAGCAGCACTCTGAAGAGGGTATGCTACCAGAGCCCCTCCCAAAAAATACTGTGTAAGCACAAATGTTTTTAACTCTTTTTTTAAGAATAAACAATATTGCTCCTATTCAGGAAAAAAAACCAAGTGTGATTTTTGAAAAATGTTTAGCATCTAGAACATTTCAATAATAAATAACAAAATAATGTCTGAAAGCATTAGAATATAGCAGGCAGTCAACAAGACTATGCCGAGAGAGCTTTAAAGTACTCAAAAAGTAACACTGAACTGAGACACACAAACTTATTTCTTTCCTCAGTGAATTTTCATTCCTCCACGATCAAACTCTGTAAAGGATTCATAAATCTCAATTTATGCCTAGTTACACCATTGACCCTAAAGCAAAGGCACACCCTCGCACCCTACAGCTAACCGAGCCCTTGTGAATCCGCGTGGGCTCTGAGCACCCCCCGTGCCCCCACGGGACACGGCACACGGGGTGCGAGGGGCACAC